TCTTCAATTTGCTGCAAAGTCGACATTGGTGTCTAATAGACACCACCTAATATCTGTATAAAGGGGACCTGTCACCAGGAGAGTTCTATCACATAAAGGCTAATGAGGGGTGTAAAAACACCCCACAATTTATTTATTTTTACACGGTCCTATGTGGACATGCATACTAACACAAGCACACGTCGGGTGCACCTACATATGAAAGCAACGGTTATGCCGCACATGTTGGGTATCGCCCCACACAGTGGAGTGTGTGCAATAATTCTAGGCCCATCATTCATGGCTAACTCTGACTTGATGACCTCTGTAGGCTTTTAATGCATCACATATGGACAGTTTAGGGTCCCGTAGGTTTTTGAAGCTTAACATGTTTGGTGTCTGTTTATTCGCTGCAACTGATATCTTTTATATTTTCCCAACAAATTTGGCAATATATTGTGTTCATGTGCACTAAAATAACTTTTTTTCCAGAATATTTGGCTTGAGAAACTATTGCGCTCATATCATGCGAGATTAAAAAATTGCAGCTGGCACCATTTTATTCTACAGAGTCTCTGCTTTCAGGAAATAAATAATTGGGAGGACTTAAGTAATCCCCAGGCCTAAAATGTGCATTTTAACGTGTGCAAAAAAAAAAAAATCATGCAAAAATGGCTATGGCAGAGAAAGGGTTAAGAAAGTCTTTTACTGAAGAAAAGGGGCAACAGATCAACATATCAAAGGTAGAATCAGTAAAAATTAATTTAATACATTTGTGTTCAGTATACAAAGTGTAAATTGGTGACAGGGTCACTTTAAAGCTAAACTCCCAGCATTCTTTAAATTAGAGGCGCACCGAAATGTCGAAACTGAAATGAAAAATAAATGTCAGACCGAAACCGGAAATGTTTTTTATTCCAACTTTCAAAAAAAAAATGACATTTTCTTTTCTATCAACTTTTTTTTAGATTTTATTTGTATTTTTTTACTTTTAGGGGCTCCGGGGAAATATTGGGGTTCTAAACACACCCCTGATATTTCCATTTTAAAATAGAAAAAGAGATTGAGGACTCTGTGTCCTCAATCTCTTTTTCTGCATCCTCTGTTTTAAATGAACAGGAATCCTCTATACTGAGTGTTCCTGTTCATTCATAACTTAGAGATAGTATGTTTACTATAACCACGTTCATGAATGGACAGGAGGTCATAATTGAGGACACAGTAACCATACTCTGTCCTCGATCACTGAGTGTTTGTACCGCTCTCCTTCCTGACAGCTGTCAAAGGAGGCTGGGTGGTGCGGGAGGGAGAGCTCAGCCTCCTGTGCCTCCGCTCACCCGATCTGGGCTGGGTGGTGCGGGGAGGAGAGGCGCCAGCCGCTTGCACAGCTCAGCCTCCTGTGCCTCCACCCCACACCGCTCTCCCGATCTGGGCTGGGTGGTGCGGGGAGGAGAGGCGCCAGCCGCTTGCACAGCTCAGCCTCCTGTGCCTCCGCCCCACACCGCTCTCCCGATCTGGGCTGGGTGGTGCGGGGAGGAGAGGCGCCAGCCGCTTGCACAGCTCAGCCTCCTGTGCCTCCGCCCCACACCGCTCTCCCGATCTGGGCTGGGTGGTGCGGGGAGGAGAGGCGCCAGCCACTTGCACAGCTCTGCCGCCTGTGACAGTTTCTCTCCTCCCTGCTGGGATACAGAGCAGAGCCCAGTGGGGAGGAGAGTTTGTCTCAGCGGCCAATATATTGGTGCATCCCTACTTTAAACTAAACACCAAATGCCCAGTGCCAGAATGTGGGTGGGCATTTACTGATCTTATTCCGTACGATGCCGGGCCCGCAGCCTCTGCTAGTCCTGCATTGTAGGTGATGACATCAGTGAGAGGGGCAGTGACGAGACTGTTTGGAGTCCAACAAGAAGAGCAGCTTTGGGGGACCAGTTTGTCACGACTGGAACCAGAGAGAAGCAAGACCACGGGACTCTGGATTAAGGTTACTAAAATTCTGTTTGATATCCATCCACTGGAACAAACTAACAATAAATCTTATATCGGTTAAAGAGGGGGGGCCATTCTAATAGTTTAAATTAATGTCTGGCGTTATGCTTTAAGAATTAAAACTGTTTATCAAATAAGGCCGTTACAGTTTGCTTTTCTCTGAAACTGAGTAATCACCCAGATCTCCGTTCCCTTTCACATACTGATATTGCTTTACATGCTGATTGTCAGCCAGCACTAGTACCAGCATTCTTTTACCAGTGTCCGGATCGCCAACCAGCACCAGTGTCTGCTTTCCAAAATGTGATCATTTTGCAGAGACGTTGGCTGTCCCCATCAGAGTGCCCCCTTGCAGTGGCTGTCCCCATCAGAGTGCCCCCTTGCAGTGGCTGTCCCCATCAGAGTGCCCCCTTGCATTGGCTGTCCCCATCAGAGTGCCCCTTGCACTGGCTGTCCCCATCAGAGTGCCCCCTTGCATTGGCACTCTGATTACTAGCAACAAATGTGGGGGGGAATTCCGATGGGGGCAAATAATAATTAGTTGTCCCCATCAGAGTGCCGTTTTACGCTGGTTGTTCCCTAAAGGGCTTGTTCACATCAATGAAGTGTGCGTATCCTCTGTGTGATGAACGCACAGTACCGAACAACGCACCTACTATGCGTTAGTGTGGTAGGTACACTGTGTTGCCATTCATTTTAAATGCACCTCCAGACCGCAATGCATTTGACTGCACCACAATGCCTGGTACTGCAATACCGTCTGTTGTGGTGCAATGTTGTTGGAAAAAAATAGGGTATGCGATTTAACGCACCACATTGGCATGAACCGGCCTTATGTTACTGTCCTCACATTTTTTCTTAGTTATACAAAGTAAAGCTGCCCATACACTGCGGGCTGAACGAAGAAACAGCAAAAAAATAGGGTATGCGATTTAACGCACCACATTGGCATGAACCGGCCTTATGTTACTGTCCTCACATTTTTTCTTAGTTATACAAAGTAAAGCTGCCCATACACTGCGGGCTGAACGAAGAAACAGCAAATCCCCCCCATCAATGCTGCAAGCAAGTTGATGTGGGAATCCCCATTGGTTTTTTTTTGTTTGTATCCTGACAGCTGCCGGCTCTGTTCATAAGGAGATTTTCTGACCTGCTCCTTCGATAAGCTAATTGAGTGATCTGGCTGAAAGGGTGCGGCACCGACACCCACTGTGCGAATTTCGGCCAGTTCCTCAAGAAACGTCTGAAATTCGCCACCTTAAGAAATACAATAAAATGGGGCTTTACCTAAGTGCACCAATCTCCCATACAATTAAACATGACTTTTGTTTTATACTTGTGACATTTTTACACATAAAATATATATATATATATATATATATATATAT